GATTGCTTAGTCGATCGCCATGATATGGTAGTGCCTCTACATGTAAACACATAGCTCGTTTGAGATCGAGCCTTGTGTAGGTCAGATAAATACCCAACATCAGCATAACCAACAAGATCAGGACTGCAATTATTGTCATAAAATAAGCCCATATCGGTAGTCCCTTTTAGATACCGCAATATGTGTTTGATTCCATTCCAATGTCTCCTTGTAGGAGCAAAGCTATATCTTGCTAAAACATTAACTAAAAAAGTTATGTCAGGCCTTGTAATATTAGCAAGATATATTATAGCAACAATTGCACTAAGATATGGTACTTCATGACCAAATACCTCTTCATTATTTTCTTGAGGTCAGAACTGATCCTTATTCACATCGAGTGATCTAACAACCATCAGAGTACTTAATAGATGTGCTCCATCCATGTAAGACCGTTTCAATACCTTTTCTGTGTAGATAGATTGATGAACAAAAATCCTGTTTGCCAAATGTTCAAATTGCAAACCGAGACATAATTTCGTCTTTCCGAAATCTTTCGAGACATAATGCTAGATGCAACATTGTATGCAAAGACATAATCCACCATTATATCCAATCGATTCAAATTTATCTCAATATCAATTGGATTTATTGATAGTTCCTTATTTTCTTGAGTCTTAGGCTCAGTGATTTCCTCATGAATCTCAGGATTGGTTAAATGTTGGATTTCTTTACGAGACTCTTTCGTAGTATCATCTTGATCATTTGTTTTCCTTTTTCTAGGATTTTGATCCTTAGAACCCAATGGTCTGCCACGCTTTAGGCGTGCTTTTGACTCATTAGTTATGACACTAGAAGATTGTCCAACAAGGACATCAATACGTATTGGAACATTCTCGGCAGGGATATGTGATTTTATTATCCTTTTCAGATACGTAAATGCATCTGCATTAGATTTGCTATTTTATGTAAATGGATAATCTTTTGCACCTCTTTTTCACAAATAGAGGCACGTGAAACAAGATTAGATAATGATGGATTTTTCCACGACTTTTCTCGTTTGATTTCACCAATTTCTCCCCCTAATTTTGGGAAAAATGCCTCATCGAATTGACATTCTGCAAATCGAGCAGTGAACAAATCTTCCGTTAATGTTTTGAGGTAGCGAATAATGGAGGGTGATTCAAACCCAACATATATTCCTAACCTTCTTTGGGGACCCATCTTGGTGTGATATGGCTGTGCTACATGCACATAGACTACGTACCCAAAAATTCTTAAATGGGATATATTAGGTTCATGACCCAAAACTAATCACAACAGGGAATATTTATGATACTTTGTCAGTCTAAGACGAACTAGCATTGCTGCATGCAAAATGGCATGACCCCAAACAGAAGTGGGTAATCTCGTTTTCATGAGTAACAGTCTTGCTATCAATTGCAGACGTTTAATCAAAGACTCTGCAAGGCCATTTTGAGTGTGAGCATAAGCTACATGATGTTCCATTTTTATACCAATTGATAAGCAACAATAATTAAATGTTTGGGATGAAAACTTAGCAGCGTTATCAAGTCGAATAGACTTAATTGGATTATCGAGAAACTGTTCCCGTAATCGAATTATTTGTTCCATTAATTTTGCAAATGCGAGGTTGCGAAATGACATAGGCATACATGAGATCATCTAGAAGATGCATCTATTAAGACCATAAAATATCTAAACGGCCTACTAGGTGGGTGAATAAGTCCACAAATGTCCCCTTGTATACGTTCCAAAAATGCAGAAGATTCAATCCCAACCTTTGTTGGTGATGGTCTAATAATTAACTTGCCTTGATAACAAAAAGTGCAAGAAAATTCATTATTTAAAAGAATCTTTAAATTTTTTAATGGATGCCCATTTGAGTTTTCTATAATTCGTCTCATCATGATTGATCCAAGATGTCCCAATCGATCATGCCAAAGTACCAAATTATTGGAATCAATAACCTTTTGGTTTACGGTAGAATGTGCCTCAATTGCACTAATTCTTGTCCAGTATATGCCACAAGATAAATATGAGATCTTCTTAATAACCCTTTCCTTGCCAGAGACATTCCTAGTAACGATGATATATTCAAGATTATTCTCATCTATTGTCTCAATATGATATCCATTTCGGCGGATATCTTTAAAACCCAACAAGTTCCTCTAGGACTTGGAGGAGAACATTGCATTATCTATGATACATATTATTTCCCTAGGCAGAGTTATAGTATCTCTTCCAAAGTCTTCAATTAGATTAATACTATAATAAATTATAGTAAAATCTGTCTTACACATACTTAAATGAGAGAAATATTTCTTCTCTTTGAATAACGTATGTGTCGTACATGAATCAATTAAACAAATATCTTTACAATTAAACTTTGATCCAAGTTTGCTTTGTGAAATATCCATATTTGCTTCCCATGGTCTGACATACAAAAGAAATATATGAATAAACATTAGTATTTTCAGAGAAATATACGACAAATATTTGCCCAATGCCCTTTTCCACCGCAACGATATCATTCAGTTTCTGAGCCCTTTGCCTTTGGCTTCTCATCTTTCGATGATTAACATCAGGAAAATTTCTTCCTTGGCTATGACCAAGGCCACGAATAGGGCCACGATCTTTTCCATACTTAGCATAATGGGAATACACCTCATCCACTTCAGGCAATGGTATAGACCTAGTGGGTCAATTTTCGTAATTTCTCATGAGCAAGTCATTGTTTCGTCCAGCCACAAGGAGAAGAGAAATCAACTCAGAGTACTTCCTGAAACCTTTATCTCGGTACTGTTGTTGCAAGACCATATTGGAGGCATGAAACGTTGTGAACGTTTTTCAAACATATTATAGTCAGTGATACTATCTCCATAGAGTTTCAATTTAGAAGTAATTCTGAACATCGCAGAATTATATTCAGAAACAGACTTAAAGTCTTGAAGCCTGAGATGAGCCTAATCATATCTTGCTTGTGGAAGAGTGACCAACTTTAAGCTGTCATATCTTTCCTTTAAGCCATTTCACAAAATAAGTGGATCTTTGACTGTGAGATATTCTATTTTCAACCCTTCATCAAGGTAATGGTGCAAGAAAATTAAGGCCTTAGCACAGTCTTGGGCAGATTCTTCATTTTTATCTTTAATGGCGTCTCCAAGACCTATTGCATCTAAATAGATTTCAGCATCCAACACCCATGTCATCAGAAACAACCTCTCTATCTCTATGATGTAGGAGTAAGGTCTGCGTAAATATTACGCTCCCCAGACCCCATCTATGGGATCAACCTGGGTTTGTTGTTGTTGTTGAACACCCATGTCATATAGTTCTTGCTCGAAATTTCAAGGGCAACGAACTTTCTTTTCATAATATCAGTCATAATTAAAAGAGGAGAAAAGTTATACCTTAATCTTGTCAAAGAGCTTCTTGAGACGGTAGAGTCTCGTGCTGATAACATGTAATGAAATAATAAAGAAGAATATTGCAAAGAAAGAGAAAGAGAGAATTCTTATTGATTTAGAATGAATTACAATGGAATATAATACCTCTATTTATAGGGAAAAAGTGGCTTAGCCACTAAGTAACAAACCCTAATATCTCTCTAAAATATAAACATTCACCTTAAGTTCAATTCTATTTATAACAGAGAACGAATATACAATGTTATTTTTCCTGAAAAATCATTATTTTTCCTTTTTCTTTGTGGTTTAAATAAAACTCCAATTATAAATAAAATATACTGGGATTATAATATGAGGATTAAGATTAGCGAAGGTGTGCGAAGGTAAGCTCAAGCTAAGATTCTGCTCGTCAGCGTAATGATATAAGTCTGTCTGACAGTGAGATCGACTGGTCCAACAGAGACGAAAGTCGACCATAGTAATTTAAGAGTCGCGTGTGAAAGGGTTCGTGCTCAACAGATCAAAGATACGCCGGAAAGCGGGAATAACAGGTTGATGAGTTTCAAGAACTCTTATGGATGGAGTCATTTGGCACCTCAATATCGATAATGCTTAGATACTTAATAAGTAAATTTTTAGCTTATAGCGTGATGCGTTTAATATCTTTAATTTTTCGTTAGAGAAATTGCATAATTATTTACTATCTGAAAACTATTATTAAAGCTTAAAAAAGGATCATAAACAAAAGAACTTTAAAAAATATAACCAGAAGAATCATTTCTTTAAATAAATACAACCAGAGGAATCTTTTCTTTTTTTCTTTTTCCCTTTATAAATATCAAAAAGAAGAGGCATCTCTTTTTAGAATTTCAGCAAGAATCTTGACTGATTAAAAATTCTTTTATATTTTAAGATTATTGGAGAAGGAATGAGATGCCTCAATAGAAAAAGGAATAGGAATAATCCAAGAAAAAACATCGGATGGAAAACAAAAAAAAGCTTCAAAAAAAGGAATAAGAATATTCCAAGAAAAAACATCGGATGGAAAACAAAAAAAAGCTTCGAGGAATTATTCTTCATTCTTGTTCCATATTCTTGTTGATAGACATCCACCTTCTTCTCCATTGATTTGTTAAAATATATTAATTATTCTTTTTTAAACGCCACATAAATTAGTACAGAAGAAGTAACAACTATGAAAATAGTTAAATGGACAACCCCACCGTCCCATCGCAATCGTTTTACTTTCTATCTTGCTTTAGGTAGGTGTCTGTCCTTTTGTTATATGGATAATAATATCACATTGACTTTGGCCATTGTCCATTCTATGGGCCATTTTTAGTTAATGAACATATATCCTCAAGTTCGGCTAAAATTTAATAATGAGATAAAACGGGGTTCAATAGTTATATGATCGATTACAAATAATTTTTTAATTATATGGTCCATTTGACATGAAATATATATATATGTTAAGAGGTAGAAGATGAATAATATTAACACTTTCCAAATTTATGAAACAATCGAGATAAATATAGCAACAACTCCATTTTGTTGTATAATATCATGACATGAAACATAGCACTATAATTTGATAACCAGTAAGCAAATCACTTCATTAATTTATTCTCATAAAAATACACACACATACATACAACAAACACCAATTACATATCAATCCCAAATAAATTGGGGTCGACTATATGAATACACACATACATAAAACAATAACAATACCAACTATGTCCCAGTCCCAAATAAGTTAGAGTCGGCTATATGAACACACACGTGTACATACACCCCCTTAATATTCCACAAAGTTACCTTAAGTTGTAGGAGGAGCAGCATCTTGGTTTTCACACTGATTTTTTATCATGGCAAATTCATACTGGTTACATTCCTCAGGACCAAATTCAGTATTAATGGATGTACAACAATCAGAGGAGAAGGTACAGCTATGGCGAACGCAAAATGTAGTCCTCTCAAGCATACACGCCTCAATAATTAAAGCACAATATTTCTTTTCCAGCACGTTCTGACTGTTGTCCATGCTTATGTCACTGACGCTTTTTTCACTAGGTGAAAAAGGCTTAGGTGGCAAAAACCGCGGCCAGGGAAATATTCTTATGAATGGAAACTTAGGAAAAAAAGATGAAGGAGGTGGTGGTGCTTGTGCAAATGGCCAATGCAACCATTTTATTTCTTCCTTGTGTGGGATTAATGCAATATTAGCATCAGACTTATGATCAATGGCTAATCCATTAGTGAAGTTTAAGGCAATAATGAGAAAGAAAATAAGGAAAGAAAATAAGTTTCTTACTTCAGACATGGCTTATAACATGAAAAAGTGAACACTTTTTAAGGTTTTCTTGATGATATATGTGATTGTTTAGCAAGGGTTTTATAGTGTTTAATTAGTTGATTAAGTTTGGTGTAGTGATCGTTTTTTTCAAAGTTTGTAATAACGTATACTTACTCATGTTTCAAGTTTTCAAGATTGCATGAGTAGAGTTTTTTGAATTGTGGTGTGTGATTGTTATTGAATATTGGAAGTACTACTCTTTAACTTAAGGCCTTACTGATCATGTGATTTGTTTTTGACTTAGTTTTCTGAGCTCTTTATGACTTCTTTAAATTACAAACAAACTTAAGACAATTAATCATCTAATGTGTTTTAATTTCTGCACTGACAATGTCTAGATTTTTGCATCTTTAGGTTAAGTTAACTTACAGCAAGATAACTTTTTACAATCGAGTTTAACTTAAATATACCAATGTATAATAGTTCGGTTGGTTGGTTACACGAAGCTTCACCTTATTAATAAGGTTTGATTCCCCACCTATTAATCTTCTCATCCATTGTTCCTCCCTTCCCTCTATTTATAATACTTCCTTTTATCCCATTTTATACGATATTTGATTGAGCACGAATCTGAGAAAGAATAACTTTTGAAATTTGTAGTCTAAAATAAGTTATAGATATTTGTTGCCTACAAATCATCTCTTTAATGGTCAAATTAGAAGTTTAAAGTTAAATTATTTCTAAATATAAAATTATATCTTTACTAGACAAACTAAAAAGAAAAAATACGTTGCGTAAATTGGGATAAATGGAATAATTTTCATATAAAAAAGTTATGCACTCGTGTAAAGAACTTCTACGCTATTAAGTCACCAACATCTTGTAGCATGTATGTAACCAGTCTTATTTTCAAGATTACAAATCTCACTTTTGATATTGTTTACCGGTAAAATGGCACAGTTGAATTTATACGTGGTTTATAGACAAGTGAATTAATTTGATCCAAAAATAACAGATGAATTAGACAGAAATATAAGATTTAGCCTTAAAATAAAAATAAATGGTAGATATTTTGGTTCCGGACGCAGAGCTACCGGGAGCAATATGAACAGTGCAAGTAAGCAAGAAAGTAAAGTATTATTTGATATTTTGATGAACTATAGTATGTGCTTGTCAGAAAATTCGCCCCCTTACAATGATGATAGAGTTCACCATTTATAGTTACACCTAGGGAACAAGGTCCTAGGATTAAGCTTCTTTTTAATGATAATTATAAGGGCCATTGAAGAATGTGTAACGGTATGCAGTGAATGCTATATTCTCTATAACGGATCATGCACTTAATGTTATAGAATATTATTCATTGAATGCTACCGGATGACGACATTTATTTTGTCTTTATGAGTGTAGCGACCCGACCGGTCGTTTTGAGCTCTAGCACGTCGTTCGGCGGTTTGAGGCTTTGAGTAGCTTCACTTTATGTATTATGACTTGTACGTGTGGTCAGAATGGAAATTCGAGAAATTCGGGATTTATTTGGAAATAAAATTCTAATTTCGGAAGCTTAAAGTTGGAAGAATTGACTAAGGTGTGACTTTTGAGTAAACAACCTCGGAATCGGGATTTGAAGGTACTACTAGGTTCATATGATGATTTCGGACTTGCGCATATGTTCGGGTTGTGTATCGGACCACCCGGGAGCATTTCAGCGCTTATTATGGAAGGTTGGTTATTTAAAAGTTTAAGAAATTCTTAAGTTTGACTTGAAGTGGATTTTAATGTTATCGATGTCCGTTTGGGATTCCGATCCTTGGAATAAGTTCTTATTGTGATTTATGACTTGCGCGCAAAGTTTGGCGTCATTCCAGAATGTTTTTTGATAAGAATCGGACGCGTTCGTCGAAGTAGGTTAGAAAGTTGAAAGGAAGGTTTTGGCTGTCTATTTGTAATTCTGATGTTGTTTGACGTGGTTTAAGGCTTCGACTAAGTTCGTACTGCACTTTGGGATGTATTGGTATGTTTGAACGAGGTCCCGAGGGCCTCGGGTGCGAATCGGATTGAAAACAGATCGATTTTGGACTTGGGAGAAAGGCTGAAGCAACTGGCATCTGGTGTAACCACACCTGCGAGGTTTTGGCTGCAGGTGCAGAGTCGCAGAAGCGGCACTGTGGCCGTAGAAGCGACCTTTGGACTAAGTTGGGATGGCCACAGATGCGAGTGCATTTCCGCATCTGCGGGGTATTCCGCAGAAGCAGAAAACGAGATGGGCAGCTGGGGTCGCAGAAGCGAAAGATCTTCGCACGTGCGGGGGCACAAAAGCGTGTGGTGGACCATAGAAGAGGTCGTCTGGGCAGATTGTTTCAAAATCAGGGTTTTGCTCATTTCCCTCATTTTCTCACATGGTTTGGGCGATTGTTGGGGAACTTTAAGAAGATATTTTCATCAGCTTTGTCAAGGAAAGTAATTCTCACATATTAAGAGTTAAATACATGATTTATATGTGGATTTAAGTGTCACGACCCAAACCGATGGGCCGCGACGGGCACCCGGTACCTTACTCAATCGAGTACCAACGCAACGTATCTTTCTTATTACAACATCATAGGTAAGTGGTCCAGAAGGGGCGTTATGAGATAACCATAGTAAATATGAGGGAATACCCGACATAAAACGACCCAACCTGATATAGAAACTCATACTTGTGACATACGGGCCTATAAGACCAATGTGATCCATTATATACTTAAAATATAGGCCGATAAGGACATACAAGTATCCGTATACATGACATCTGCCTACAAGCCTCTGAGAGTACATACTTATCATAAAGGTCGGGACAGAGCCCCGCCATACCAAACAATACACGTCTAAATCATACTGACTAAACAAGCAACTCCGGAGCAATCACGTTGAGAGTCATTTATGGCTTTAGTGAATTCCATATCTTTGTGAATTAGTCCTAATCTTGAATTTTGAGGAGTATTTTTTTTATAACATTCTTTAATCAAATGGGATGAGGTACTCATCTCTTTAAATGTTGCCTAATTGCCAAGTGATTTAAGAGTCACTTAATGGCTCATATGTGGCTGCCACGTTGGGCTATAAAGCCTTATCTAATAATTCCCCCATTTTCATAATTAACTTATTAATCCCTCACTAAATCAATAATTGATCAATTACTCACATAATTAAGAATTATCTCAAATTACTTAGAATACTACTCATTTATAACACACTTTATGTACCCTACTATCATGGTCATGTGGTACCTTGTATGGTACTAGTCCATAAATATCGGGTATTATAGCTTGGACCGTATTTTATTTCCAAATTGTCAAACTCTGACGAAACTCATTTTCTTCGATTCGCTTACCCTCTCATTCACGAATTTACTTGTCACTTATTTGAAATAGCATAATGCTTATAATCTCAAAATAATCTCATCCCCGAACTTACGTCGATTAACTTACGACGAAACTTTAACATACAATACTACAGGGTGTAACATCATCGTAATATAATACTGCGGAGCGTAACATTGACGTAATACTGCAGGGCGTAACATTAAGCATGAGAAATTGTAGAAATTGTGGGGTTTTTGGTAGAAAAACTAGAACTTTGTATTTTTGGATTTTAACCACGAAATTGGACGTGGAATTGATAATAATTATATATTTGAGTTTGTAAGGTTATGGATAATGTTTATCTTCGAAAATATTTGAAACTCGGGCACGTGGGCCCGAGGGTTGTTTCATCGACTTTTCGAGCAGAGTTGGGAGTTGTCTAAATTGATTAATTGTGGGTATTAGAGTATATTTTGATTAGTTTGCATGTTGTTTGAATAATTTTGGATTGACGGGCTTTGATTTGAGGTGTTAGAGAGGCCTTGGAGTCAGTTTTGGAACTTCAGAGCGAGGTAAGTCTACTGTCTAACTCTATGAGGGGAAAAACACCCCTAGATGATGTATTTGTTATGTGTTACTTATTACGGGAGCTACATACGCACAAGGTGATGAGAGTCCATGCGTAGCTAGATTCATGTTATGTCCGGGTAGACTTAGGCCCTCACCATGTTATAGCTGTACTACTTGAGTTGTCTCCTACCCATTAATTCCTTTATTTTACGTTGCGACTTGAGACTAGACTTGTGTAGAGGGATAGATTCGATATGATATAGATTCGACGGGCATGTGTCACGACCCCAATTTTCCTCCATAGGACGTCGTGATGGCACCTAGTATCTAAGACTAGGTAAGCCTAACCATTTGCAGAATAACTGAATAATAATCTGAACTCCAATCTCAACACATGATATATAAATAGAAACTACAATTTAAATAATTACAACTCCCAAAATCCGGTAGAAATAAGTCACAAGCTTCTAAGAGAAAATAATAAGTATCTTTATACATAAAAGTCTAGAGATAATAAAGGGAAACAACATATTAAGGATAGAGGGGGACTCCGAGGTCTGTGAGCGCTGGCAGATATACTTAGAAGTCTCCACGCACGGTCTAGCTCACTGATATCTGGGCTGGTAGGAAGAACCTGGATCTGAACAAAAAGATGTGCAAAAGTATAGTATGAGTACACAACAACAGTACCCAGTAAGTGCCAAGCCTAACCTCGGTAGAGTATTGACGAGGTCAAGTCAGGGCCCTACTGGTTTAAAAGGAAAGTAAGGCAGAAGATATAATAATATTTTTGAAATGACTGAGAATTTAAACAATAAGAAGTTTCAGAAAATATCATCACAGTAAATATACGTAAACAATAGGGCACTCCCGAGGTACCGCCTCGTAGTCCCAAATGTAAATATGCTCGACATGGGAGATCTCCCGAGGTAACGCCTTGTAGTCCCAAAGTAAATATGCAAGATAGGGGGATCTCCCGAGTAAGCACCTCGTGGTCCCAAAATAAATATGCAGTACAGGAGGATCTCACGAGGAACCGCCTCGTAGTCCCAAAGTAAATATTGTAAGGCCCTGTAAAATTTTACAAAGGAAAAATAATGTTTCATGGTACCGGACTAGGCTTACGTGTTTGAGGATTGCAGAAAAAT